ACTTATGTATTATTTTTAAGAAAATCAAATTAAGAGCAATAAATGAGAAGGGAAATCATCATGAACTTTTGCCCCCCAAATCAACAAATGTTAAAGAATGATCATTACATGGTTTTTATATTTCCTATTCCTGTCAAATGATATGTAGTGAGAAAACATTTTCATGTAAGAGCATGTCACGTGTATCATACCTTTTCATGGACTTTCTGGCCAGGTTCCATCCCTTCAAGATGTTCTGACTCTGTGGATCCCTCACTTGATGCAATTTTTCTTTGTATATGAACATTTTGTTCACGCAAGGCAACAATCTGCAAAATAAAAGCACTATGCCTTTAAAATCTAAATAGAGAATAAAATTTTAAAAATTAAATTTACTTAAATGTTGTTAATAACTAATCAATACTAATCAATAATTAAAAGTGAACATTACATTTTATTCATATTATTTCATTATTTTTTAAATTTAGGTAATCATTTTGAATAATATTTATAAGAATTCAAAATATCTCTCCTAGAAAAGGTGAATGCATTGTGAAATTTACCTAAGAAAACATTTTCTAGGTGGAAATGTATCTAAATTAATTATGTATATGTGTGTGTGTATCCATATGTTGTTAATTCAGAAATTGTTTTAAAAATTAATTCATAAAATATAATAAAAATTATTATTAATTTATATTTTTATAGTATGCAAGAAACATAAATGAAAAGACTGAAAGTTGAAGACTAATTATGATATGCACAATCATTTACCCTGCAGTGATAGTGAATCTGCACTTTTAAAAGAAGCAGATACATATGCTAGGCTTAAATAATTTTGCAATGCTATCATGAGTACTTAGAATTAAATTTGTTTCATTGCCTTTATTTTATTTTATTTTTCCAGTTTTATCTATTTATTTATATTTATTCATTGTCATTATTTTAATAGCCATTATTTTATCATTTCAAATCCAAATTTAGTTAATTTGCAAAAAAAAAAAAATAGAAAGCAATTTTTTCTTTCAAATTTTCAGCTCAATTTACAGACATGATTATTGCAACAAAGAAACAGGTTCTCAGGTAGCTGTAGTAGAAGTAATCTTAGTAATACAGAGAGTAGAAAATAGCATTCCAGCCTTTTTAAAATGGTGTTTTAAAATATATATGCTATTTATACATGTCATTTTGAAAATATTTACATTATATTAATTCCATAACTTATTTATTTTATGGAATTTTTTTATTATATTATCAGCTCAGATATTAGTCCAGTACTGGCTGAGTATTCCTTATCTGAAGTGATTGGGACAAGAAGTATTTCAGATTTCAGAATTTTTGGATTTTGGAATATTTGCACATATATAATGAGATATCTTCGGAATGGGACCCAAGTCTAAACCCCAAACTCATTTATGTTTCATGTATACCTTATACACATAGCCTGAAGGTACTTTTATACAATATTTTAAATATTTTGTGCATAAAACAAAGTTTGTGTGCATTGACCCATCAGAAAGCAATGGTATCACTCTGCCACCCATGCAGACACTCTGTGATTGTTTGGCATAATCATCATTTAATCATTTCCTTACACTTATTCACACCTAAGTACTTAAAAATAAAAAATATAACATGCAATTAATACAGCAAAAAAGTAATGCATTCAGGGTAACTAAGCAGCACAGTAGCATCACCAGAATACCTGTATCAGCTGTTACACAACAGCAACAACAAACAACGACAGGCTTTCAGTTTCCACCCACCATGCTGTGTTTTGATTAAAACGTTACTGTACACTGTATTTTTGTTGTTGTTGTTGTTTCTTAGGTGAGAAGAAACATCAGAAGCAGTTGAGGGACAAGGAAGTGGGTCCTCTACAGATAATGAGAAGGCATTCTGCTGCATGGCTTTTTAAAATGTTTTCTCCAGAGTCATCTACCTCATTAGCAACAATTTTTGTCTTAGAAGCCTCTCTTTGCTGTTATAAACTACATGATTTCTTGTTCTGTTATGCATGCTACTCAAGGCCTTCAATATGCCTATTACACGTTTTCACAATGTCATCCATAGACACTTTTTTGCAGTGTTACGGTCTTCTTCATCATCACTATTACAGGTTGAATTTCCTTTATTCTAAATGCTGGGGAACAGAGGTATGGAATTTTTCACTTGAGCATCATGTCAGAACTCACAAAGTTTTGGATTTTGGAGCATTTCAGATTTTGGGATTTTCGAATTAGGGATGCTCAACCTGTATTAATTCAAGGAAAAATCGATGTTTGCAGTATGTAATACACAATAAACATTGAATTGTATAAAATTTATATGTTGAAATTATGAGATCAATGTGCACAGCAATAAATATCCAATTTAAAAAAAAGAAATTAAGAGGTTGGGTGTTTGTCCTGCTGCCTGCCATTACTTTAATGCCAAATCTTCAGGTGATCTTGCATCTGACCTGTGGCATTGGAACACATGGCATGTCATTTCATAAGGGTAGATCACCACATAATGAAGAACACCTATCTAAATGTTCTTCTCTCCTGTAGCACTGCAATCACCAAATAATTTGTTCCTTCACTCTCACTCGCTCTTGCGTATCTACAATCTGGTATCCACGAAGCAGCCAAACTCACCTTTTTTTTTTTCCTTTTTGTCTTTTTTCGTGACCGGCAACGGATCGCAACCCTCAGTG